CAGCATCCGTTCCTGGGAATCACAGAAACTCGATTGGCTACTTCGCTTCACGGCCTTCGCTCCCTCGACGGTCCACAGATTATGGTCCAGACGCTGAGGAGGAGACTCCTCCAAGCTCTTCGTCAGCGACCTGGGACCAGAGTCGTGTGCCCTTTTCAATACCCCGCTGGTCAGACACTCGAGACAGCGCCGGCAGCTCAAAGAACTCCTCCACCTACTCTCTTGAATATTCTGACCCCTCCAAGGCGCGCCGATCTAGCATGACGAAAGAGACGACGAGCAAGTATCGGTTCTTTGATTTTGTACCGGCCTCGTCAAGACGCAAGGCCAAAGACCGTGAGAGTACTCAGCAACACTCGCGCGAAGAACTACGGAACGAGTTCTGACGTACAAGTCTCTACTAGCCTATCTACTTCTTGGTTAGATTCGCGTTAAACCGTCATGATCTAAATATAGAGCATGATATTTTTCAGTGTTATTGGCTGATATCATATCAAGCCTAGCTCGCACTCTCGGCCCGCTCTCTGTTATTCCCGGAGCGTCCCCTCTCGTCCTGGATAATGAACGGGACATGTATGACTCCGCGGGGAAAAGGCAGTCGAGAGAAGACTTTCTATTGTATATCAAGGAAGGCCTCCTGTGAGCAAAATCTTGCATCATCTGGTGTATATTCTACCTCTTTCCGGCGATTGATCCCATGTGTTGATGATCTGACGTTCTGTCCCTTCTTGGATTTCTCTTCCCTTCTACCCTGCTCATTCTCCTTGAATAGCATTTGTCACGGTGTTGATACCCTGCTCTGATAGCTGCTTTTTTGGCTGGAAAATGTCAGCATGGCCTTTCATCTCGTAATCGCCGCTATGGATGGAAGGATTTCGCTGGACTTTCTCATGGCACAAAAGCAGTTCGTGTTCCTTTGTGTACATAACCTTTGGCCTTTGCATAGATGAAACAACTACTATTCATCCAATAGTTCCTTCTGCTTTGCACGGCTCGACCCGACGGTCTGTGTTGACCTAGGTAATAGATTTCGAACAACGCAGTGTATGGGATTGTAGACGAGTGAAAGAATCAATCTGTCCTCGAGACTGAATCATGTTCAACTTCCATCGCTCAGATACGCGTGTCATAGAAATACTTGCAAGTAGATATACACCTTAAAACACGGCCACTCGAAGAGCCTAAACTAGAATGCCAAACAATATGTGCGAAGGCTACATCGGTCCCTCGCCAGCTCCCGACGGGCATTCACATCCACAGACATATCTTGCCACTGGCAGTGCCACCTGCGATCCAGTTCTTGCTGCGGTGGAAGACAGCCACAGCAGGAACGGCAGTGATACCCTCGCCTCCTAACTGGGCGAGCTGGTCCCCGGAGCTACTGTACACGTCCACGAAACGGTTCATGTTTCCGATGCAGAAGCGCTGGATAGGGGATTGCGGGTTTGCTTGCCATTGGGGACGGAGGCTGCGAGACATCTCATGTTAGCTTTTGCGTAGAAGGGCTTGAGAATGGTAGGGATAGGGAGAGCCTTACATGGTCACCCATCGTCCAGTCTGGCAATTGTGTCGGACGACAGTGTCTGGTTTCATTTCGGCGTCTGAGAGGGTGTGCCCTGGTTTCCAGGAGGTGATGCCCTTGGCCCCAAAGTCGTAGATCTTGAGCGTGTCGTCGTAGGAGGATGTCGCAATCTGGCCGGCGCTGTTGAATGCGGCGTGGGAGACCGAGAGCCGGCTGACGTGCTCGCCTACCGGAACGGGTTCATGGTGGGAGAGCTTGCGTATATCCCAGAGACGCATGGTGCGGTCGAGAGAGGCGGTTGCGAAGTAGTGCGGGTGGGTTGGGAAGAGCGAGAAGCCGCCGATTTTCTTCTCGGAGAGTTGCCAGGTGGCTACGGCGCCTCTGCGCGAGGCGCGGGTGTCGTAGCGGCCGAATGCGCCATCTAGGGTTGTCCAGTAGAGGGTGTTGGGGTCGTCGGCTGCCATGTCGATGCCGGATATGGGGACGTCGTCTGAGGTTGACTCTGGGGCGTATTTCTCGACCGAGGTTGTCTTTTCCAGGTCCAGCTCGCGGATGGAGCTATCGTAGCTGGCACTGTAGAGGTGGGTTGGCTTGGAGGGGTGGACGTGCATGGAGCTAATGGTTCGTGTGTGTGGTTTGAGAGTGGTCAGGACTGGGTCTGGGTCGTCGTCATCTGCGTCTTCGTCGTCTTCCTGCTTGACGGCTGAGATTGGCTTCTCTTGCGAGGCGTCCAGGACACCGAGGTTGCCCATCTTGTCTCCGGCGAAGATCAACGGCTTGGCCTCTGACGGATGGAACGTCATCGTGTAGATTCGTTCGGGGGTGAGCTTGATGCCTGTGATGCGGTGATGTTAATATTTCTAGCCACAGCATGTCGCAGTTCACACAGAAGGCCAACGCACGATTAGGCTCCCACGCCTCCCACAGCCGCAACCCGCTCATCTCCTCTCTCAGCGCCTTCAGCTCCTTATCCGTCGTCTGCTTAATATCCTCATCACCAAAAGTCCGCTGATACGGCATCGCAACTCCCTTCGTCACCACATCCACCCCGATTAGACTATCACCGCTAAGTTTCTGCCCGGACACAAGCATCTCACTAAAAGAGAATGCATCCGACTTGCGAACTCTCTTCGCCCGCTCCGCCTGCTGCGCAGCCTCGTACTGCTCCTCCGCCTTGCGTTTCGCAACCTCGCTCTCCGCCGCGAGCCCTCTCAAACGCGAGGACGTACGCCGCGGTACTAGATCCTCATCTTCCTTCTTGATCTTCTTCGGCGGAGGCTTCTTCTTCGGCTTTGTCTGACCCCCTGGTGAGCTCCTCGCTAATTTGGGCGGGAAGAGACCGGACGACTGGGCGTCCAGGGTCAGCTTCTTGAGGAGCGCATCACGCTCTGCGATGTTGGCGAGACGCTGCTTTTCGAATTCGGAGAGCTCATTATCAGCGCCCATGATAGTGACTGCTTTGCGAGCGCCTTGAGCGTCCGCTGTGTATACCAATGCCTTGACAATCGAAGGAGTGGTGTAGATTCAGTTCTGTGTTGCAGACCAAACCCACGCTTCTGCCTGAGGAAACGCGTGCTGCAATGTCGCGCTGTCACGTGATATAATGGGATATGCTGAATAAGATTGGAACAAATGATTCAGTGCGTTTACTCTCTCTAGGTGTCATGTGGGAAATATAATCATAGAGAAAGAATATAAGATAAATAAGTAACAACTGTCTGCGGTGTGTTTTGTATAGAAAGCGTAGTTTTGCGCTATCTACTATGCGGTCGACCTAACTCCGTATTTATTTTTTTGTTGAATTTCTCCGACTTTTCATGTTGTCTACGTCAGAGTTTCGCAGACTTTCTGACGAGAGCCCACGCCCAGTCCATAGTCTGCTCGGCCGTGGTGTACAATGCCGCTACGCATCTCGCGCAGTTGCCTGCCGCAAGCAACCGTTAACTCCCCCGTTCCATTCCTCTACCAGACGCGGACGCTCGCCGCGAGCTATGCAAAATGGAATGCCCGCCAGGGCCGATCGCTTCAGTCGACATCGACTACCTTCACACCACCCGAATCAAGCCTAGGTAGAGGCGAAGAGTCTGTTCATGATGGAGAGAGTTCTGAAAACGCGACACCTTCCTTGAAATCTGATTCTGCCTCGCAACCCCCGAGCAATGATGGCCGGCGATCCCGGAAAAGTTACCTGAAGAGGCGCGGCACCACGGTCTCACAATCGCGGACACCACCATCCTCACGACCACCCCAAAAGCCACTGACGATGACACAGAGCGAGAAGAAGGCGTTCGGTGGTCTGCTGGAGCAGATGGGTGTGGAGGAGAAGGTTGACCCTGAGGCGGTTACAGAAGGAACAGAGAGGCCGGCACTGAGCAAAGACGAGATGTCTAAGATCTCCGCTATCTTTAACTCTGTGCTTGAGGACCTTCGGAAGGAAAAGGAGGGTTCTGAAGCTTCAACGGAGGGTGCCGCAAAACGCAAGACCCGGAGGAAGGTGGATGAGCCCGCGTCGACTTCGAAGCTGGGGTTCCAGAAGCAAGCGGGTGACTCGAATCCTCCAGAGCTGCGCAGTGATGATCCTGTCTCTGTCGAGCGGGCCATTCATTTCACCGTGCAAAGGGAGTCGGCGAAAATCGAGCGCGCGCTCCGTGCGGCAATTGACGAGGGCAAAGGGGATACAGGGATCTGGGAAGTGTGCAAGGAGAGAGTATTTTCGATGCTACGATATCTCGGAGATAGCCGGTTACCGGAAGACAGTGGCACGTCGCCGGCAAGCTCAGCGGGCGAGCCCACCCCTCACAGTCCTCTGGAGGTTCCTGAATCCGTGTCCGTGGAAGCAGTCGTCACAATCCTCTACCCGAAAATGCTCCTCGTGGCATTCCGTCTTCTGAACTCGCACTTCCCAGGCTCGCCCTTGATCGGTCAGTTCCGCTCGACGATCAAGTCGCACGGCAGGACCTCAGCGGTGCTGGGGAGTTCGACGGGTTTGTATAACGAGCTGATCTACTTCTACTGGCGCGGGTGCAGTGATCTACCTAGTGTTGTATCGTTGCTGAAGGAAATGGAGACTACAGGGGTGGAGCCGGATGAGCGAACCTGCGGACTGCTCAGGGCGATCTCCGAGCAGCGAGAACGAGACCTCAAAAATCATTGGAAACGGGTGCGTCGCGAGAATCAGAATCGGGGTTCGCTCCGTGATCCGTGGTGGGATATGGCACCGAATCGGACAGCTGTGAGGGAGTTGTTTGGGGAGAACGGGTGGTTGCCGCGATTGGAGAAGCGTGTGGAGGAGATTCAAAACATACAGAGCTCGACGAGATTACTTGCAGATAGGTTTAATCTGTAGCGGTGAAGTCCTACTGCCGGAGGCAGAAGAAAGGAGGTGTATATTATACAATGCCGGAACTCTACATTAGAATATGAATACAATATCCACTCCACTTATACCTCATCTCAGTCGAGGCTGTACCCCTTCAGACTAGATCTTCAAACCCCAACTCCTACCCAATCCAACAGCAGTGGAACCCATGAAGCCCAGGCACTGCTTGATACCGGTAATCTTATCACCTATATACTTGTTATCCTCGATACGACGATCCACAAAAGCCTGCGTAGCGGAGAGATCCGGACTCGAGTCGCGGGTCATGACAACCTCGGCGCTGGCGTAGATGGCGGAGATAGACAGTCGTTTGGTATACCACGATGCATCGACCGAGGCGTCTCCAGCAAGATCCAAAATATCAGAGGACAGAGCATGCAGCTCGGAGAGCGACAGAGGGATATTTCCAGCAAGGGACATGAGAGCCAGGGCCTGGGGGATAGCAGTAGTAGTCAGCACCATTCAACTGTATGCAATGCAATTCGTAGCAGAACTTACACCCTGCCACTGATGTTTAATCTCCGCATTCATCCGCAGCCGCTCCATGATAAGCAACCTGGTCTTCTCTTCGACAGACAACGACTTGCCCTGGGCTGCAATTTTGTCAAAGAACCCGTTCTCGACTTTCCCTCGCAAAAGGCCGCGCCGACTCGCCAGCCAGAAAAGGACGAGATCGAATTCTCCTCGCGGGAGCAGCTGGACCGAGACGTCGAGAAAGCCTGCGTCGCGGGCGCCGAGGGTCAGAGCTTCGAGTGTGAAGCCGTGCTTGGGGACATGGTTTAGGGCGGTGGAGAGGATGGTGGTTTGTGAGTTTGTGTATTCGTGGGGGGGCAGCTCGGGGTGGTATTGGGAGTGGTATGATCTTTTAGCGATACATTGTTGCGGTCGTGAGAATTGGGACTGTTGGTGGATGAGACGGCGCGGTGAGCTATGAGTCTGGTATAGACGGCGGGACTGCAGGGCGATGTAGGAGGAGTGGTTGGGGCGAGAAGTGAGGGTAATAGAGGACGAGAGAAGGGTGTTGATTTGTCTCTGGGAGCAGCGAGAAAGCGAGACTGGCTGGGCCATTGTATCTGATTGTAGAGAGTACTGTTCCCGTTCCTCTTGTTGGTGGTCTTTCAAGTGCAGTTAGAAAAGTTACTAGTGGCTTGATGAATGGGATGGAACATCGGGCCAGCCGGAGAAGGAATCTCGGTATAAGCGGTGGTCTGAGCTGAGCTGAGCTGAGCCAAGCGGATCTTCCTGTCAAGAATTCATTCTTCATTAACTCAGCAGGCAGTCCAGGTCGCACCATTTAGATGTGGTGTTAGCTTTATCTTGATTGCTGATAATGAATCATCTTCAGTCGATGAAGAATGAACGGAAGTGGCCTTATATGTCAGCTTGAATTATATAGGTACTTCATGATATATTTCCTTCCTTGAACTGTCTCATACTGGGATACATTGTCCAAGAGCAGTACATGAAATCTGACCATTGTTAGCTTCTCCATATGACAACACATTTATATATATCTAGAAAAATAGTATGATCAGGCCTGATCATCAACCTCAGTATGCTGCAGCGCTAACTGCTCCGAATTAAATCACATTTGGCTGGCCTATATATTTGATCGATGGTCGACAGTGATTATTACTAGTAGTACCTCTCTCTGGTGTAGCTATTATTATCATTCCGGATCAACAAATCACCAGACAGTTCTATGAACACAGAATTGAAAATAAATAGTAGAGTAGTTAATGTCAATAATAGTATCATGTAACTGACAGCAGCACATGGGATATACTAGTCTCGACTACTGCGTACTCAGTACTTAACCCCAGGTGCGTGGCCATTGGACTCATCCACGTCTGCTCAGCGCTTCTTTCCACTCCTCATATCAAAACAATCAACCCTTCTATCAAAAAGACTCGATCATTGAGTATTGAGAGATTCCATCTTCCTCCGCAATTCAGATATCCTGAATCGCTGGTAGATACTCTGTATACCGGCAAAGTTTGCATGATCCCTGTTTGACCTCAACAGGCCCAATCAGCGTCCCTTGTCTTCGGCCTGTTGTTTTCTTTTTTTCCCCCATTAGTACCCCCCTCGATTCCCTCTGATATTATCGTCTCTTATTACTCCAGTCCTCCCCCTACTTATCGTTCATTTGCTACTCCCTTCCCAGGTCTGAGAGCCCATTCGCTCTTAAATCCACAGTCTGGACGGACACCAAGCAGGACAGACCGGACGAACCTTCAACTCGGGAGGACTCAGATTCCAGACCATCCCATCCCATCTGATTGTCATCGTCGACTGTCACATCACATCTTGCAGCTAACAACAATAACACAACATCATGGGTGAGTGACCATCTACATCTTTCTTCGTTTATTTTCTTTTCTTCTTCAAGTCTCCATCATTATCAATCATCACCACCACAACCACAACAACACGCATCCCTCTGTATCCATGGTATTTCCATTGCGTCTCGTCCTCACATCCTCCTCCATATAAGTTGTTTTTACTACCTTACAGAGCACTGTTAGCCTTGTGTTGCTCTGTTGAACAATCACCTCCACCTTTTGCTTCTGTCAACCCCCTGTCTTGGCCTCCTCCAAGGCTGCTCTCAGTCCAATCACTGTTCGGGGTCCTGCACATACCATCCGGCTTGACGCTTGACATTCAGCGTTCAACACAATCGAGCTACTTTGTACCCTTAGTATTCTCTCCCACCATCCGTCCCTTTTCCTTCCCCGCCTCACCCAACCCCGAAAAGTCACCAACTACCATCGTACTACTGTACCTACTACTGTAGGAACCATCACCTTTCACACCCCCTCTTCCCATCCATTTATCCACCCGCTTCATCCCTTCATCAGTCCATCCAATCCTTGGTCCCTCACTCCATCAAAATTCTTTTCCCCCAACATTCCCGGAACTCTACCGCGCTGTCAATACCAGGTAAGAGCCATCCACGGGCTACTCGTCCTCCGCGAGCGAATCATCCTGGTTGAGAGAGCGCTGCATTTCGGATCCCCACGGGATTTCCGTCAATCGTTCCCATCCCTCTCTCCCTCCCTCCCTTACCTTTGCCCTGACACTTCCGATGATTTGACAGACATACATGCACACGCACACGCACACACGCAAAGTGGTTGACAAAGTGTGATTGATTTTACGTTCCATCTTCACCCCCGCTATTTACTCTCTCACAACCTCATCTTTCTCATTTCCTTTGATCATTTCGTTCCTCCTACCTTTTACCCTTCTCGCCTCCCTGGCACTTGCTTTGATTCTCTTCGCTGTTCCTATTTCCGATCGCGTTGATAGTGGACTCTTGGCTTACATTAAGTACTGTTCTCCAGCCGACGTCTATCGACCATACCAAGTAAGTCCTGGGCTTCTGTCGTGTCCTTGTCTAGTGTACATTCTATAGTCCATCACCTGCCATCAGAATGTCACTCCCAAATGTTCTTGAGCTGAAAACATTCTTCCCTTGCTCAGAAATGAGTTTCCTATGCCTTCATAGTTCCCATTTCCCGGGGCTGATGGCGCGCGGCTGATGATGCCGGGTACCCACTGTCCCTATCGATTGCATGTAACACACTTCTAACGTCTCGTTTGCACTCCTGCACCATGTTGTTTGTCTCAAGATTCCTTCTACCTTGTTTGTCTCAATTTTGTCCTTCTTCATTTCCGTGATAGAAATTTCACTTTCTGTGTGCCCTTTCTCCCCGGGTCCTCAACTCTCTGAGGTTTGCGCGTTGTCGCGCAGGCGGTGTCACCTGATCTCCCATTCTGCCGGTTCTCAGCGCTAGCGTTGGGGGTTTCCTCGAAACTCGGGAAGGACAGTTTGAGACCAGCCCCCCCCCTTTGAGACGTTACATTCCCGTCATTTCCTAGCCTCTCATTTCAGCCATACCCCTTTCGCTACTCGCGCTTCTTATCGATTTCTCTTTTTTTTAGTCTTTGCTGGGCTCGGTCCAATCTCGTCGATGCCTTCCGACTCTTTTGACACTGATTACGTGCAGCGCGAGAGGTCTCGCTCGCCCCGCCGACGTTCTCGCAGTCCTCGACGGAGCCGTCGCTCGTACTCCCCACGCAGTCGCTCTCGCAGTCGTGACGATTATCGCCGCAGTGATCGCCGGTCTCGGTCTCCTATGAGTACTGCTCAGGGCGCAACTGGAGGACATTCGGGATCTGGTTACGGTGGCCGCAGCAGTTACCCTCCTTCGAGATCTTTTGAGGACCGCGTAGTCGCCAAAGAACAAATGATGCAATCAGTACGCGAGTCGTCCCAACAGGACCGCCGGGTCTATGTTGGCAACCTATCCTACGATGTCAAGTGGCATCATCTCAAGGACTTTATGAGACAGGGTGAGCAGGGTCATATCGTGTCGACAGTGCGACGCAGCTTTTGTTGGATGAAAACTTGTGGCTGACTTTGGGGGGAATGATTTTCCGCATCGTTCATACAGCTGGAGAGGTTATCTTTGCCGACGTCTTACTACTTCCCAACGGAATGTCGAAGGTGGGCACCAATGCGTAGCGTGGCTGGCTTTTTCTTTTTCTTCTTTCTTTTTACTTCTGGATTTTCCTTGGTTTCTTGCATGGACGATTTGGGTTGACGGGCTGGGCCTGGCCATCCGGACATTGTAGGGATGCGGGTGAGTGTTTCCGGCTCTCATTAACCTCTTGAGCCTGCGCTAACAATATATTTCAGGATTGTGGAATACGCTACAAGGGAGCAAGCGCAGAATGCAGTCAACACGCTTAGCAACCAGAACCTCATGGGTCGTCTTGTCTACGTTCGCGAGGTACGTCCGAAGCCCGATCTGTGCGCGTCTCTCGCCCATTGTGTACGCTGACAAGATTTGACTAGGACCGTGAGCCCGAACCACGCTTTACTGGTGGACCTTCCAGAGGAGACTTTGGGGGTGCTGGTCGAGGTGGCTTCGGAGGCTACGGTGGCCCCCCCGGTGGTGCTCCTGGCGGTGGTGGAAGACAACTCTATGTGTCTAACGTTTGTTGCCCCTACTCGAATCATATAATGCTCCGTCATAGATCCGGTTATAAGTATTGACAATCTTGATTTAGCTCCCCTTCAATGTCGGTTGGCAGGACCTGAAGGATTTGTTCCGCCAAGCTGGTAAGTGCAGAACCGCTCCGCGGCAGCCTTCTATTGGCGATATTGCATATCGAATTAACGTCTGACCGTCGTGGACAGCCCAGCAAGGTGCTGTGATCCGCGCCGACGTTCACACCGACGCAACTGGCCGTCCCAAGGGCTCCGGTATTGTCGCCTTCGAATCTCCCGAGGATGCGCGCAACGCTATTCAACAGTTCAACGGCTACGACTGGCAGGGACGGACATTAGAGGTCCGTGAAGACCGCTTTGCCGGTTCCGGACCCGGCTTCGGCGGCCGGGGTGGCTACGGTGGCTTCGGCCGGGGTGGCTTTGGCGGTCGTGGTGGTTTTGCCGGCCGTGGCGGATTTGGCGGCGGCGGCGGCTTCAGGGGTGGCTACGGTGGAGCCGGTGGTTTTGGAGGAGGCCCCCAGAACTTCGAGCCCGCCGCATCGGCTAACCCCAACCCATTCACTGACTTTGCAACCTCTGGAGGAGAAAAGAGTCCCATCATCTACGTGCGCAATGTGAGTTTTGCCTTTTGACTCACACGGCTGGTCATCTCCGCCGTCGAGGAGCTTGTGCTAACGATCCTGATCACCAGCTGCCATGGTCTACTTGCAATGATGATCTGGTGGATCTCTTCTCCACCATCGGCAAGGTTGAACGTGCTGAAATTCAGTACGAGCCCAACGGTCGCTCTCGTGGCACTGGTGTAGTCCAGTTCGACAATGCGGAGACTGCGGAGACTGCGATTGGTACGTTACAGTTGGAAAATATCATTGACCGCAGACTGACTAACTCCTCGGCAGCCAAATTCACTGGTTATCAGTATGGTGGTCGTCCTCTCGGTATCACGTTTGTCAAGTACATGAATGCAGACCAGGGCCAAGGCGAACCAATGGAAGGCGCAGAATCCACCACCGGAATCACGCAGGATCAGATCATGTAAATTGCGGGTATTATTTCCTGGGAAAACTACTTTAACCAGAATTTGCGATGTATTACTCATAAACCAGGAATTGATGACATACTGACCTGCATTTCATAATTTGACTATTTTTTTCAAGTTCTCATTCTACTATTACACCTCCTGATGCTGGTTTGTGTATTTGATTTTTGTTGAATGGCAGAGCTACCATTATTGTAGCAGTATACGTGCCTACCTTGTCCCATTTCAAAAGATCTTCGATTGTCGCGGAACATTCAATTGATGTAGGAATCTGCGAGTGTCTCTTTGGTTCCATCTGTTCGCTACCCGGATGCCTTGCCCTCGATCGCGACTCTACCCCAGAGACGCGTCCCTGGGTGCCAGTTCTGGCACAGACAACCCCGGCGGAGATCCAGATGGTCTTGACGCAACCCGGTCACCAAATGAGGCGATTGTCAACCGCCGCGCTTATCACATAAAAACTCAAGGATCAGTGATAGAATCGTGTTTTGTGTTGCGTTGGGTGCAATGTTAAAAGGTTTTCTTCATGCAGCGGATCCAGGGTATTACTACTGCGGCCTCCGGTATTGTGCACTGGCACAGTAGTCCGAAGGGACCTTAGAAGATTATATTTGGGCCAACAATCTCGGCAGATCATTCCTGTTACGCCGAACCTCAATATAAGAGGTACGCTCTCAAGTCGTAAGAATACAGGAAGTGCACCTGGATCAGTGTGTTTGTGGGCGCACCAAGTCATCGACTGGCGCCCTCGATTTTTGTCTCTGGAGAATCCTCATCGGGGAAGCAGTAGATGCTGGTGGCCTTCTTATAAATGACCTGTCTGTTATGGCCATCAGTGATCATACGTAACTACCCTTTCCACACTTGCCGGCGGTAACCTCATGGGTCTCTCGCAGCTGCATCCCTCACGTATGAGCGGGTTGTAAGCATCTCATTAGACGAACGTCCGCCGTGACCTAGAAATTTGTTCATTCGACTTATCTACGAGCAACCCCGGCACTCGGCTCTAGTTTTTCCCATGTGGAATGGTTCTTTCTTTTGGTCTTGGCTGGGAAATCTACCGTGTACTAGATTCAACGTTCCTGTGCCTGTAGGATCTTCGCACATACTTTTCTTGCCATCGTACCTTCCTCCACGATAGATGCACCTGCCTTCGTAATAGCTTCCCCCGTGGGTTTAAAAGGATTTCCTGCTCGATTTCATTATGTCTTCTTCTTTTCCTCTCCTCACACACAAATTCCAAGGCAAGTTATATACTCACCCATCATGAAAGAAGTCTGGATTGCGCTGATTATTAGTTGTGTCGCTCTCGGAGTGTCGGTGGCAAGTATGCTGCTCCCTGTCAAGGCATGGCTGCGCTACTGGTTTCCCCGACTGTGGCCGCCGTCGGGCCAGAATGATGCGCGCCGTCCAGCCGATCTCGAGTCAGGTGGTGGGGGCAGAACAGACGCTTCTGGAGGAATCAATCCTGCCCCACCGGACCCCCTAGACCAGCGCGATGATCAGCTCCAGGATCCACCAGATCTTGTCGGGAGAGACGAAACTCCCGGTCCTTCGGCACCATCTAACTCAGGTGGTGGCAGGGCTGATCCGAGCGCGTCTGAGGGGTCACTGACGAGGACAGATTAGGCGCAGGGCATGAAGGTCAACTTGACTCAGGTCATCTCCGAAGACGCGAGATCGGTTGACTGGATTGGTACACTTCGAGACCCCACCCCTACACCCGGGAAGCGGTGGCTGAGGGAATGGTGTAGGAGAGCTCCATCTTTCGAGGCGGCTCACCTTGATAGATGGAGTGGTGGGGCCACCAGCGACGGGCTCGCACTTCTTCGCAGTGCTGGTGACTAGTAACCTTCGGGTGAAGCCAAGACGAGCCCACATGTAAGTGATTCATTGCTTTGGGAATCTCGAGCGCAGGAAAATGACATGAGACAACTCACTTTTGTTTCTCGACACTATTCCTGCTTCGAACGGACAATCTCTATGCCATCCTTTCTCCCAGGATAGGCTCGGGTCAGTACATTGTCCCCAAGGTAGTCTGACTGATTACTGAGCGCAACCAGAACGAATTCACTCTCCTATCCCCGCGTCCCGAGCGTCTCTCTCCTTGCCTTGGCCACATGGCTTTGGCACCCGCAGACCGCTCCGTTCTCAATTGATTGGTCACTGATGTTTTCACTGTCCTGTCCCCAAACTCTCGACAGCCAGGATGTTCGGTGGTCCATTGATGCCTTTCTGGCAATGAAGCAGCCGATTTGGAAGCTAAGGCGGCCGCACTGACGGGAGAGGGGGCCAACGGAGCGGAGAAATCGAGTGCCGGAGATTCCACCGCTGGCGCTGTCTGGCTGGCTTCCAGCAAAGAGTACAGTGCAGCTTCAATTATCAGGGTGACAGCATCAATTCAATGTACATATTGTCGCCACTCTCTATGCTGGATACCAAATGCTGGACCAGCTTGGACATGTCCTGTACCGAGATGAAATGAAGTTTCATTGATTTATCAAAGTCATTCAGCCAGTCTTCTTCCTTAAAATAGAAATGAATTGTCCCAGGAGCGCACATCATGTTTTCTTTTTCCTTCAACAACACGATGCTGCAAGAAGCAGCGTCGGGATGGTACCAGCTATCTGGATTCCCTCATCTGCAGTTCATGAGGCTTTGCGTTGATATTTGCGTTGATATTGAAGCAACCTTCTTTCCTGTTCCAGGCAGTAATCTCTTTTCCACTGACCGTAAACACCTTGCGTCATCTTCCGCAAGTCCCGCGACCAAGACCTATAGGGAAATTTCAGGAATAGTTCTTCTTTCTGCGCGGATCCTTTGATAAGCTTACCAGTACTTTTCATTATGCCAAAACCATGCTCCGGTGAGACGACATTGGTCAAGCCAAGGACGGTCTGCAGGCCATTCACACCTTCCCAGATTTCGAACCACCCAGAACTCAGCCCGATTCTTGTCTTCAGACAAAGGGTATTTTGCAATCAAAGTCTGACACCTGGGACAGGCTCCTGAGACCAGCTTCACGGGGACAAGAGGCAGGAGATCCCGATGAGGTTTTGAAAAAATCAAAGTCCTGCGCATGTGAAGATCTTTTGCGGTTTGCTCCCTGGAGACGAGATATAGGAGATCCTGATGAGGACAAGCAAAGCTAGGCTCAGCTGTGAGATGAGCGTGGGAGGAAAAGAAGCTTATAGTATGCCGACCCGTTACACATAACTGGCCAGTTTCCTTAATATATACTATCAGAGCAACTCGCACAAGGCAGCCAGACCCAGTGCTAAATAAACAGCGGTGGACAAGGCTGGGTCTTCCTCCATTGTCAAAGTCATACTCAAATGGGCCGTATTTGGTTTTGGGCTGACTCGCGGGTGATTTGAGGATCTTGACAAGCTGGTCTCGACCTCGGATCGTCAGAGAAATACAGGGACATAGGTCAGCTATACCAGCGTAGTAAGTGCAGAGTCTCTCCAGAGCTGATAGTCCCAGTGAATGTCTCACGAATTCTTTCCGTGGATGGAGTTTCAAACACTTTCCACAGTAGGCCCAGCGGCGATTTTCGAGTCGAAGGAGGAGTTGATTTCGCGGCACATCCTGACTGTTCACGCACAGGATTGGATTCCTAATACGCAAGAGTCGTGGAAATTCAAGATCTTTGTGCTTCACTATCGTCCCGAATAGGCCGAAGAGCTCTTTGCAGCTGAGGGATAGACAAACTTGATCGACCAGTGAGAGGTGTCCGTAGATCTTCTGTAAGATGGGCTCATCCAAACAAAGTATGGCGGAGTATTTTGGCCCTTTCTTCCCAAAGATATGAAGCAGCCTGAAGTGCATCTTTTGACATCGCGACATATTCGAGTCTTCAAGGCGAAAGATGATGTTGGACGTGAGGCAGTTTTGGTTTTGGATACAGACGCGATGTAAAACGAGTAGACCGAGAGACTCAATCTGGTCTATGGATACTATTTTGTAAAAATGAGAACGAGAAGACTCCGGGACTGCCGTCTGACGTACTGATTCAACATCGGTAGGTTTGAATGATGCCTGTTTTGTCTGGTATACACGCAAAATGAGCTCAGTTCCTTAGATCGATCAACCATGGGATGTTGTCAAGACCTGCACTCAGTCAACGTGTGGTTTCCTCCTTCTAGGGTCCAAAATTCCCCTGAATGAATTGAAATGTGCACAATGAACAAGATTCATCGCTGTCCCTTGGTACTCTTGATACTGGTCAGCCGGCTTGCTTCCTTAACCTTCCCATCTTAGCATTTCTATGGTGGACTTATCCCATAGGTTAACATTGGGTCGCGCCGTTACAAAGAGTCAATTAATCATTCTTCTCTTGTCATGAATATCTCACGAGGATTGCCAGTGAAATTGCGAGATCTATGACGTCGAAGATAGGCTGTCTCACTGGGGACATCAAAAGTATTTTTCTTGAAGACATAGTCAGTTCAGCAGATCAGGTCTACTATGGTGGCCCTTAGTAGCCTTTAAATCAATTTCCATAACGAGGTGGTCACGGTCTCTAGTAGGATTCGGTAGCAAGATCAAGCTGATTTGCCCGTAATGAAGTGTCTTGAGATCCCTACTAAGGTCGTAATCATCCTCGGCTTTTTCCTCGTCGTCGTCTGCACTGCTAAAAAAATGATTAATGTTAGATCGCTCGTTTCTTTCTATATAGACTAGAGCGCCTAGTCGACTAGCGGGATAGCCTGCCCCTAGAAGTACTCAGGAAGCAATAAATCAAAGTGGGCCAGTGCCCATCACGTGATACTGGAATGGCTAAGATCTTGCTTGGTAAATTGAACGCTTAAAATGGCGTCGAATGCAGCTATTTTCGGCGCTCAATTTACCATCACTTAGCGTTGTGGTATGTTTCCCCAGTAGTGAAGACGGCCGAAGAATTCCATCACCAGCGAAGAGACAAAAAGTTCTCGAAGAAAATTACGTGATATGATATTTGAAAAGGAATAACGGGCAAAAAAAGAGAAATGATCGATGCAGGGTTCGACTGCGATCCCCTGCGATTTTATTGTAAAGCAGGTGCCTTAACCACTGGGCCAATCGATCTATATGTTGATGATGTGGCAATAATTGAGTTCCTTGACCAGTCGCAAGCTCTTATGCCATGACCGTGATAAGATGTCGAGGGGCCTAGATTCATTGCACTTTGTATACTACTTAAGCGGATCAATTTTGCGAGCAAGAACTCTGCATGCTGATCTCGGTCTAGCTGTTCACAGCGTGTGGTACGGTAGTAATCTCTGGAGGCTTGTCTATGTTGAGATCGTGGGGCTGATATCCATATGCTTCAAGAGACGTGACGTGTATTCCAGGAAATATAAGAATATAGTACAAGGAAGCGAAACATCAGAGTCAATGACGCATGACATAGGAAATGACAAAGGAAACCACAAAGGAAATACATCGCACCGCATGGGGATTCAGAGTCAAATCAAGCGCGCACGCCGAGCAGACAAGCAATCCAGATCCCCAGCTCCACAGCCGTATCCAAACAATCCATTCATTCGAAAAAGAAAAAACGACAAGCACCCCAATTGTGAAGTATCCCAATTCATACCGTCGGCCTCCCTGACATCGTCACCCAAAGGAAAACCGAGGAGACGTCAGCTAGTGACGCGGGTGATCACCTGTGGACGAAGTATATGCTGATGAAGTATATAATGTACAGAGAAGAAGAAAAAAGCAGTTGGAAGTGAAGTGTTTGCGTCAATTGGATGCTTTCACGCAGGTATATGATTTGCGGGTGGGTAGTGGCCTGGAATTTGCAACTCAAGCGCAGATACACTTGGTTTAGATCGCCTCACATCACTTTCGGGATTTGTTATATAGGAGCCGTAGGCTCCTTCCGAGGTAACTTCAGACAACGGCGTTGCTGCAGCGCTGCTCATGTTGAACGGGGCTCGTTCATTCTTGAGGCCCTCACTAAGCTGGTGGCCGGCATCATTACCTTCGATCATGGAAGTTTCATGATCTCCGTCGATCGAGGTAGGGACGGTATTGTGCGTGCGATCGGTGATGTTCGTCGTGGTCGGGGCAGTGGATCCGCTCTCGCGCCTGTTCCTCTGTCGATTCAGTGAAGGGTCACGGGAACTAGCGGACCCCATTCCGGTGAAGAGCATGGGATGTACGTCGCTTGATCTGTCGGGACCCAGATTGTCTCTCTGGCCACCCAGAGCGTTGCTCTGTTCCTGTTGCTTTTGACGAGCGACAATCTCAGCTGGTCCCATCCAACCGGAATAATATCTATTATCTTGCTCTGGGGCCGAGAGCCCGTAGTTCCCATCGTGCTCTCCGACCGCGTTTCGAGTTTGGCTACCATCTCGTCCCGAGATAGAACGATTTCCATCTGCAAAAGGAGCTCCGTCGGGCAGGGACCCTGCAGCAGCAAATAGGTCGTGCCCGCCAGAACTCTCACCACTGGATGGAGATAGTGGGGCTTGCACGTGGCGATCAATCTGCACGTCACTCGGGAAACGGCCACCAGGCTCGCGAGGCGCAGACGTCGGCCGCTCCTGGTTCAATACGACTGCCTCCGCTGCATACGGTGTGCGATCGGCCTCGTCTTCATCCAGATCAATGCTGGTCCGAGCGCTCGCGCCACTCACACTGCGGACGTGTCGCCTAACGTATGCATTACGTGCTTCGCCAGTCTTGGAGATCAAGCTTTCGATGTCTTCGTACCACGCCATCATGGTCTCGTGTGATTCCGCGCGGAAGACCCACGAGTGACCACGATGCATGGGGCCGGTCTGTCGGCCTTTGAGCATGAATTTGTGCGACGTTGAGTCCGGCTGCGAGTGTGATCCCAATTTCTGCTCCGGTAGGTACAGTGACATCACTGGCGTCTGCCATGCTACCCGATCGGCAGACTTGAACTCGTGTAGATGAGTCGGTGACAAGACATACCTATTTTCTAATCAGAAAGATGGCAGACATTGACAATGAGAATACTTACCAGCCGGGTGTATAGCTCTTCAGATACTTGCTCTTTCGCTCCAACATGCCGGATCGAACTTCAGCCGCAGCCGGATGATCCTTGCCAGGGTAGGTGATGTTCTCCACGTTCCGGAGAGAAACGCGAGGATCGACGAGTTCGTCACTATTGGCGATGAAGTGGTTCCATTCGTGGTCATGAGGCATCGATATGGGTCCTGTCCGGAGCTTCTCCACGGTGTCATAAGCCTCATCGGCTTCTCGCTTGAGGATGCTGGCATACGCATTGTACGCCTTCTGTATCTCACTGACGACAATCGATTCAAGTTCGCGACCGGAGTTTTCCAGGTTTAGGAAAGCCTACAGCCGGGTCAGTGACCAAAGTCTGTAGGGATCTTTAGAAAGAAGACTCACACGGTGGAGGTAGTTTTCCTCCTCAATCTGCTTCTCAATCTGCCTGTCGACACCCAACCGGATAATGAACGGGTCTCCTTTGCCTGAAGTAGCGGACGGATCGGTATCGACCAGACCTAGCGCTTCGTGCAGTTGGCGAACCGTCTTGCGTGTGTTCTCTACTTCTTTGTCGACGGAGTTCCGGAAATCGCCTTGAAGGCTCTTGATTTCTTTGGTCTTCTTTTGCAGGTCGTTTCGGAGGCCCATGAGCTGGTTAACGACTTCGCTCTCCACCTCGGCAGCCTTGTTAGCTTCTAGGTAACCTTGACGGTGGAAATCTCGCAAAATGTCGGTTGCATCGGCGAGACCGCCAGACTTGAGAAACGTCGGAGGGAGCGAAGCGTTATTTACTACATTCGACGCCGACAGGTAGAGCTTAGACCTGGTTTCGTAGGACTTCTGGACTTCCTTGAAAAAGACGATGAGATCTTTCAAGACCTTGCGCCAAGCTACTTTGCATTAGCATACTATTGATCATTGAGATACATGCTCCGAAGAAGAAATATGCATACCTTGAAAGCGTTGCGCCATGACCTCAGTCGGGTTCCCGTTCGTCGGGATCGGGACATAAAACGCACTGTGCTGATCATCCGCGCCATCGACGCCATACTTTTCCTTATCACCCAAGACCAGACTCCTCACACTGCCTGCGCGTAGGCTCCGACGGCTCCCGCTGCGACGCATACTGCCTTTCTTGCTGAGCGACGATTTCTTCTTCAAAGTAGTTGACCGTGTCGGAGTCGCTGAACGGGAATGTGACATCTGCGAGGCGGAACGTTGTACACCAGAAGTTGACGGTCCATCGAGCACAACAGAACCACGCTGACTGGGCGCGTCAAACTCCTCATGAAAGCGAGGATTGTGAACGTTTGAAGGAGGGTCGACGACAGCACCGTGAGCGTAGTTGTAGCCTGAATTGCTGGCCACAACGGAGTTGGGTCTAGAGCCGGACCGCAGGCTGTAGCCTCGATTTAAGAGGATGGATTCGGTTGGTGGTGACAACGGACGATATGCATCCTGCACAGGTGTATGCGCCTGAGCGGTCATTGCCATGGCTGGAAAGGAGGGGCGCAGCGATGATGACGCTACCCAGGATAGTCGGGCGGTGCAAGTCCTACAGTGAGATAAGGGAGCGCTCCAATCAATGCGTCGTCGGTTTGTCCAGGAATGTTGGAAATTGAACGGGAGTCCCTGGTAATAAGGAGAACGGGGGGAAGCGAACGAGATGGTAAAATAATCATAAAATAATCATAAAAGGAGCCAAACGAAGCGCACGATCTGAATATGAATCAGGATAGTCGAGTCTGGTTACCAGGCGAACGGAGGTGTCGATGGTCTGGAGCGAACTGTTTGCGGGGGGGATTCAGAAACCAAACTGCCAAAGAAAAGCGCGCCCTTTTCGCGATGGCGATGATCGGCTCAGTTTGGGAGCATGTAGATAGATTAGTCGTGAGATGGATTAGGGAGTAACTAATATAGGGATTCTTTTTAGATGGTTCAAGTATGAGCCCCACAGCTCTAGGGAGGAACTATCGAAGAAGGGAATTTTCATTCCACGCAGGGGAGTTATGAGAGGGAAATTAAGGAGAGGATCTGGAAGCCGAACGAATATAAGGTAGTAATTATTTAAAAATCAAGAGATCTGTCGTTATAATCCTGAGATCGACCAGGGAGTGTAGAAAGAAGTAGTCGAGATGATTATGAGGTGGGTGATGAACAACTAACTGCTGGACGGTTCCGGATGACGTCTACGCTCGACAAGAACAATGGAATGCGACGTTATGACGACCAGGAGAGGGCTATCGGGCACTTACAGAACGGATTTCCCGGGCCAGTGGAAAAATGAAGAACAGACAGTAGTCATGAAACTTTTACTTTCTCCAGGATACTTATGGGCAGGTAAAAAGAGATCACTACGGCATGGGTATCTATACGATTGAAATTGAGATACTCCGTACAGGTACGGACTACGGAGTACTTCGACGGACAAACTACAGACCTCCTTTTCTGAACAAGAGAAAGATATGCAATTCTAATAAGCTGAAGCATTACAGTACTATTAATAAACAATAAAATGAACATCATTTAAATGATGTTGCCTATTCATCTCAATTGATAATAATTAATCCAATAATCCGGAGATAATGATGATCATGAAACGGTGGACTACTGCCAACCTAGGTAGCAAAGTACCAAAGTACATCCCCCCTTTTGATAATTGAAGCGTGGCTTGTGGAATGGCTTGAACTTAATGCATTAAAGTGGCTGTGAACCGCTTACTTTTCCAGCTGGACAGCAATGGCCACTAAGAAGCTCAGAATCATGTGGACACAGTGTGTAATTGTGTAAAATGAGCCAATGTATCCGTACAGAGTACGGAGTACTCCATACCTCCTTCTAGCGCTTGCACAAGTTGTTCTTCATAGCTTCGATGGTGTTCCCCCTTTTTAAGTGGCGACTATGATACCTACGCAAGTCGCAATTAGGAGGCAAAAGCAAAAAAGAATAACGGGAAAAAAAAAAGAAAAAAAAAAGAAAAGGAGACGGGCCCGCTGGAAGATCCTTCTGCTTTCCCCATCTGGCGAACGCGCCCAAACTGTCAATTATTATTTCTTCGACGTCATGCACGGTTCATCGTCTGTGATACGCATCAGTGTATA